CGTGAGGCGGTACATCTGCACAGGAAGCACTCAGAGTTACACACAGGTGAGGGTTGCACACAGAGTGTGTGTGTGTGTGTGTGTGTGTGTCTGTGTGTGTGTGTGTGTGTGTGTGTGTGTGTGTGTGTGTGTGTGTGTGTGTTTTTACCTGAGCCTGCATGTTGGGCTCCAGTCTGAGCAGGCAGCCCACCTGAGTGGTCTTCGTGTGAACGACTCCCGCTCCGACAAAGTTCGCAGGATTGGGATCGACGCCGTCCAGCAGAGCGACGCCGAAACCTAAAATCTGGAGAAAAATACATTTTCATATTTACACGGTGGGAATAAACGTGGACACTTCGGTCAGCGACTCTGCACGCCCGCAAGTCTCGCTGTCGCCACGCCGCAGCCTCACTCTGCTACCTGTGTGCCGACCTCAACTTCGATGTTTGTGCAGCAAATTCCTGATCACGTTTGTCTGATCTCCACAGGCTGAAGAGCATATGCTGTAATCTGATTACTGCTATAATACAGCTATATTATAGCAGGGTCAGAGGAGGAGTTTATCCTCATCAAAACTGCCAGTGTTTAACACATGTCTCACTCTGTATATTTTATTTATTGTTTACTCTATTTAATTTGTAAAATATGTGTACACACACACACACACACACACACACACACACGTAGAAAAATATTTAGTATACACATCCAGAAATGCATATACTATTATATATTGTACATATATTTATTAGTTTCAGATGTAGCCATTCTTGTATTTCTCCGGACCAGCAGGGACTCGGTGTCTCAGAGACTCTGCGAGCTGCTCTCAGAGCAGTTTTAGACTCGCCGCCTCTCACACCTCAGCTCCTGTACAGTGTAAAGTCTTTTTTATTTTTCTTGCTTTACATCTGAATGAATCCAAATGTATTTTTGCACACAGCTTTACTAATCACACTGCTTTAATCGTCCCTCACTGTGAGCGCCTCGCTGCAGGTCCTGACTCTGCCGCCTTTCCCTTTAGAGAACAATCCCACCAATCGCACACCTTCAAACCAGAATCGCTCGATCAGAGGTCGGCGTCGTTTACCTCGGGAGGAAAAGCCGCAGCTTTTCTGTCTTTGGTGTAACAACGACTTCAGATGCTTGGGGCGGTTCTGCTTTTGCACATAAATTTTACACGATAATTCAGCAAAGACAAAAAGTCCTCGTAGAACACTAGCTAGGATCTTCTTATTGTGCTGGAGGTCATGAGGTCATGGGAGCGCGTCTGTTCTTCTTGTGCACCTCTGAACCGGTTGGCTCGCTTTCAGACACCAAACGGGAATGCTGCTCCTCCAGCCACGGATCCAAGCTTCCCGTTTGGAGCGGGACTTCCAGGGAGCCATCTAGGAATCTGCAGCAGGTGCAGAGGTGAACAAGGAGACGGCTTTGTAGGTTTGAAGGGGACGCGGCCCAAAAGTCATTATGAGTTAAAGGTGGCCTTTGACCTCGCCTCGTTCTTACCTCCAGACGGTCGAGTCTGTGAACGTTTGTTACTGAGAACATAAAGGCCTTACAAAGAGCCTCAATCACTGCCTCACACACTACGTTTGCCTTAAAGCACCGCTGCACTCTTCACATTTCTGTCGCTGTTTGCTGAATCTCCTGCGTTTGTGTGACGTGTCCTCATCCTGATCTGCGACGGCACACGTGACGAGTACAGAGCGAGCGTCCACGCGTGGGCTTCAGCCTCACAGACGTCGATGTGACAGAAAAAAAACACTGTTTGCGGTGTTTACGCCTCACGCGGCGCCGTCACCGTTTCGGCTTCAGGTTCACGAAAAAGTCTCCATCGTTTTAAAGGAGACCGTCAGACGCCTCACCTGCAGTGCCTTCAAGGTGAACTCTGTTCAGCCTCTTTTACACCTGTGCCTTCATCGGCTGCTGACCCCGCAGCTCGCCCCCTGCTGTCAGCACACAGTGAGCCAGGTACTCTGATTACTGAAGCTCAGCTTTGTCTCTGCTGACGCATCAGCCTTTGTGCTAAACATTAGAGATGTTGGAGGAACGTCCTGTACGCGGCAGGAAGCAGCTTGTTGAGCCAGCAGGTGAAGCCTGGCCTCTCCCGGCTGCAGTTTGGCACACGTGAGTTTGAGCTTTCAGGAGGCGATGAAACGATGTCTGAGCGTTGGTCGGCCCAGCAGGAAGCTCTCAGCGTTCTTCCTCGTTACTGCCCATAGAGAAGTGTTCAATGCCACGGGCTCAGTCGTCACGGCTTCACCTCAGAGCGAGGAAACTTTAAGGTCTGACCTCACGCTGTGGCTTCCAGCTCTCGCCGTCGTAGCTGGACGTCCTCTCAGTTTCTGTCCTGAAGCTAATCTGTAGACGAAGTTTTGCGACCCGTTGAAGCTCCGTGTGGCGGCTCAGGCCGAAGCAGCCGCTCGTCGCGTTTCCTGAACTTTACGTCTTTAAAATCCGTCGTCGCTCCTGACGGACGCTCGCGCTCAGTCACGTGCGCCTCGCTGAAGGATCGCACGCCATCGAAGCAGAAGAAACGGCTGCTGATGTCACTGTGATGTCATTTCAACATCCAAATGTGTTTTTACAAATAAACATATTTTACAAACTAATAACCTGAAATCTGCTGTTTTTATTCAAAAAGGAAAAAAAGCCTCCTGGTAACTCGATCTCGCTTCACTTTGAATAAAAATAATAAAATGTTTTCAAACCTTCAAAAGTGTTTTTAGAAATGAAGCTGAAACTTCGCAGCACTCATATAATTGCCTCAGATTTGTACATAAATATCTGATTTTTTTTTCTTACCATGAAAATGAATTTTCTGTCTTAAATTCTACACTAATAAAAAACTTCACATAACAGACGAATAGTGAATGATGTGTAGAGTTTATCAATAATCTGAAAATAAAGCATGTTTTAAGCATTTCTGTTAGTTTTTCTTAAACCACAACATGGATTTACACAATGATTTATATGAAACCAGCCGTGCAATACATGGTTTACGGCTTCAAACAGTAACTTCTGTTGACAGCAAATACATTTTTCTCCACGACAGGATCGTCATCCTCCTTTGAGTTAAACGTAATGCTGTTAGGTTATACACTTATAGCACAGTTTTCATAAGGTGCCTGCATACCAACAATATTAGATTTAGTCTGGATGACAGAGACAAATCACAACAGTCGTCTCAAGGTGCTTTTACTGTAAGGTCGACCCTACAATCATACACACAGAGAAAAACCAACAATCATATGACCCCCTATGAGCAGCACTTTGGCGACAGTGGGAAGGAAAAACTCCCTTTTAACAGGAAGAAACCTCCGAGCAGAACCAGGCTCAGGGAGGGGCGGGGCCATCTGCTGTGATTGGTTGGGGTGAGAGAAGGAAGACAGGATAAAGACATGCTGTGGAAGAGAGACAGAGGTTAATAACAGATATGATTCAATGCAGAGAGGTCTGTTAACACATAGTGAGTGAAGAAGAAACACCCAGTGCATCATGGGAATCCCCAGCAGCCTACACCTAAAGGAGGATTCGGGGTCACCTGATCCAGCCCTAACTATACTTTAACGTCTTCCAGTGTTTCTTCAGTGTTGACCGGTCCCATACAGAGTGAAGAAGCCTTTTTCTCCTGAAAGTCTCCAACATGTCTCGGATTCCAGACTCTCTGGACTCTGGCTGTTTGTGAGATTTTAAACGAGCCTTTGTTTCTTGTATGTTTTCCAGAATATCCAGTCTCCATGCCTCCAACTGATCGATGGTGGGGTTTTTCTTACAGAGTGTGAGATTGGATAGTGGTGTTGAAGGCATATGTTTAGATCAAATCAAGTGTCTTAACTGTAATTTTTAAAAAATATCTTTTTAGTGTTGTTATAAGTTTGACAACGTTGATTAAATGTTGTCCATACTGGGGAGACCAAGAGATACAGGGGTGGTGGGATTTATACCACCTGTCACTAGTGGGGTTTTTGTTTGTTTTAAACATTTTAACATTGATCGGTGATATGGGCATATTATCCATTGCTCAAGTGTTTCTTTGACTTACTTCAATAAACGGTCATAGTTTGTCAGTTGATTTAACATCAGTGGTTGGATAATTAAGTCCTATGTTGAACTGATAAAAAGGTGTTTTATAACTATTAAAACAAATATGTAAGACTGCTTTCTTCCATTTGTGCAACATCTCTAAAGTTAGAAATATCCTGTCTCAGAGTGACGCTGAAAAACTAGTTCATGCATTTATTACTTCCAGGCTGGACGACTGTAATTCATTATTATCAGGAAGTCCTAAAAACTCCCTGAAAAGCCTTCAGCTGATCCAAAATGCTGCAGCAAGAGTCCTGACAGGGACTAGAAAGAGAGCAGATTTCTCCTGTTTTGGCTTCCTGTTAAATCCAGAATTCAAAATCCTGCTCCTCACATACAAGGTCTTAAATAATCAGGCCCCATCTTATCTTAATGACCTTGTAGTACCATATCACCCTATTAGAGCACTTCGCTCTCGCTCTGCAGGCCTACTTGTTGTTCCTAGAGTATTTAAAAGTAGAATGGGAGGCAGAGCCTTCAGTTTTCAGGCCCCTCTTCTGTGGAACCAGCTTCCAGTTTGGATTCAGGAGACAGACACTATCTCTACTTTCAAGATTAGGCTTCAAACTTTCCTTTTTGCTAAAGCATATAGTTAGGGCTGGACCAGGTGACCCTGAATCCTCCCTTAGTTATGCTGCAATAGACGTAGGCTGCCGGGGATTCCCATGATGCATTGAGTTTTTCCTTTCCAGTCACCTTTCTCACTCACTATGTGTTAACAGACCTCTCTGCATTGAATCATATCTGTTATTAACCTCTGTCTCTCTTCCACAGCATGTCTTTATCCTGTCTTCCTTCTCTCACCCCAACCAATCACAGCAGATGGCCACGCCCCTCCCTGAGCCTGGTTCTGCTGGAGGTTTCTTCCTGTTAAAAGGGAGTTTTTCCTTCCCACTGTCGCCAAAGTGCTTTCATGGGCTCATATGATTGTTGGGGGTTTTCAGTATAAAGCACCTTGAGGAGACTGCTGCTGTGATTTGGTGCTGTATAAATAAAAAAAATTTTCATCATCATTGTGTGAAATTGCAAATGACTGGGAAATGTGTTTTGGTCAAATTGAGACATTCTGATCTGTGTGGTGTTCCTTAAAACTACTGTAAGTTTCTAGGGGGTCTATTATTAGGTTTCCTGAAGAATTATCCTAATTGCTGTCTCAGACTGTGATGTCTGAGTTCTCCGTGCCCATTGCCAGCCTTTTCTCCTTGATTGTAATAAGATGTTTTGAGCCAGAGCGAGCTTTTTCTCCGCTTTGTCAGTGGGTAACTTGTTATATTTTGCTGTCAAAAGAAGTAAGTTGATTTGAGTAGTTGTAGTCTTTATTTTTAATAAGCTCAAGTTCCAAGAGTTTAATCTGTTTTCCTGAAATTTCCATTTCATTTTGTCTCTTTAAATGTTGGAGCTTGTAAAGCTGATTAATTCTCCTCCCAGCTTATGTTGGTACTAGTTTGGCCAGTATTTGATCCAAAATCGATGCTGTTCTGGTTTTAACGTATGTAATAAATTCAGCGTTTTGTTCCGTCTATATAAATGGTCTGATTCTTATATAGTGCTTTTCTGCTCTCCTGGAGTACTCAAAGCGCTCGATACAACATGCCTCATTCATCCATTCACAAGTGCAAACTCATCTACAGTCACAGTCCGATGAGCGCATCAGAGGGCAGCTTGGGGTCATCTTGCCCAAGGATATCTGACATGCAGACCGGGGAAGCCAAGGATCGAACCACCAACTTTCTAATCAGTAGATGATCTGCTCTTCCACCTGAGCCACAGCCACCCACCCGTAAATGCTAACAGACAGGACCATGGTCACTTATAACTATACAGCTGTGCCAGCAGTTTTTCATTTGTGATAACAGCTCTCTTGACACAGGGAAGTAATCTATGGGGGAGCAAGTTTTTAATGTACTATAGTGACACGAGTATTCCACTTTTCCAGGATTCGGTTCATGCCACACCTCGACCAGGCAGTTTGCTCCATTGCTTTTGCTAATTCGCCACTGCTGCTCTCCAGACGTTCTTCAGGTTCTTCTGTCTGCAGGCGGCGGCGCTCTACTTTCTGCTCGATCTCTGTCAAACTGGTGTGTTGTGACACAGGTGGTCATCTCACCCATTTTACCAATGCTGTCAATGCTGGACTTAAACTGCGAGCCAAGCGTCCTCAACTCTCGTAACGCTACCTTCAGTTCCACCATCCTGTTAGTAGCACCTTCATGTTGTTGTTCCTCTGAAGGAATTTTGGGGGGTTTGCGAGCTTTGACATAGCTCGGCTTACTTTGGTGTGGTTAGTTGAAAGTTTCAAGGTCATGCTGAGCCTCCAAGCTGTGCCCGTGTCGTTCCACGCTAAGTATCCCTGACAGGATTTGTTTCCCATGCGTTGCGAGCATGCACTGGGCTTTCCAAATCAGGGACAAACGGTATCCATCATTCTTGATTTTCAGTTAACAAACACTTCTTATAGTGACTAACTACTTCTGAAGTTTTGGAGCTCTTTGGAGCTGCAGTCCCCAACCCCCAGGCCATGGACCGGGCCACGAAAGTTGAACTTGGTTGGCTATGGTTTTTAAGGTTTTTATCGTTTTTATCATTAACTTGGTTCCCTGAGTCTTTTCCTGTGTGTTATGAATAAATCTTCTTTTTTGATACCGGTACTGGTTTTATTTTGTTGTATTTATCCGCGACACCTTAAAGGCCGGTCCGTGAAAATACTGTCGGATATAAACCGGTCCGTAACGCAAAAAAGGCTGGGCACCGCTGGTTTAGACAGTTTCAGTGGGATCCAAATAATTATGAGCCAAACTGTCCTGTTTTTGTTTTTTAATTTATCCCGTCCGATAACAGGTGAGAACAATAAATGTATAATTTTCTGTTGTAACCCACAGACTGAACGACAGTATAACGACACTCATCTTTCACCTTTTCACTAAAGTCAAACGTCACTTCCACCTCTGGTTGGTTGTAATGGAGGCGGAGTCAGCTGGGTCCACTCTCCCTGCCCAGCGCGTGCTAGATCGGGGATAGCCACCGTGGTATGACACCCCGCATGTAGAGAAACTTTTAACATGAAATTTTGAGTCACAAAGACAGAAAAGAAAATGTTATTTCCATGTAACTGTCATGCTGCGTTAAACAAATGTGACAAGTTTTATCACGGATACAAAAATATGAAATAAATAAATTTGCAGATGCTCTAACTGTAACTCCCAAAGTCATTTTGTTCAGTATGTGCGTGACTTTGATTTCAACCTACTCTACCTACAGCTTCAAGTAGATCTTAAACTGAACCCGCAGCTTGTATCACTTCATCGGGTCTTTCAGCATCATCGTCGGCTGCACGTGTACATCCATAATGTGCACGTGCAGCGCTGCACCTTCGATCATTATAATGCGAACATTTGTGGAAACACAAAAAGGCTCATCAGTTTGTTTTATTTGAAAAAGATGAAGAAAGATTTTCTCTCCTCTGTGTGCTTCAGGGTTCAACATGAAACCTCTTTATTCAGAGACCTGACTGTCATGAAAAGTCTGCAGGCAGCCAGAACTCACGGCACACCTGTTCTCAGGTTAAAGTTTTCACCCCGCGCTTTAACTCATCAATGATTGCTTTCTTGAGAGGAATGTCTTTCATCACATAATCAATGAGCCCCTCTACAGTTTCCCATTTCAGATGAACTAAAATAGCCATGACTGATTTAAGGAGCTTGTCCAATTGAGCAGGAGGCATCTCGCGCAGGATCTGAGGCAGAGGCTTGAAATCGTCACTGGTCTTCCAGCTGTAGATGCCTCCAATGGCTGCACCTGGAAGACAGGAGGGTGGATGGAGAGTCACATATGTTGCTTTAGGAGCTGTTTCTCTTCATTCCTCACCATGGAAATGGCCGCTGTGGTGATTCGTGTTATATTTTTGACGGATTATTTGAATCAAGTTTCCAGTTAGAAATATTTCTGCCTGTCTTGAAGAGGAGACTGAGAGTAAATTATATCTGATGGGACTGAGGTTCAAGTTCATCGCATGACTGCTAAAATGCTTCGGTCCCCTCAACTCCACAAAGCTTCAAAGAATTTTCACTTCATTGCAACTTATGTGTTGGTTTGGTTCAACAGTTCCCAGTTTCCCAGCAGAGAGCAGAGCGATGGAGACTCAAAGTTTACCGCTCACAGTTTGCTGATCTGCACTTAAATGGACAAAAAGTTCACGTACAGCAGTTTATATTTTTGAAGTTTGTGTTGGTTGCTTTTGTCTTTCGGGAGCTGAGAAGTTAAAGCTCTGTGAGGGATCGTTTTCTCCCAATTCCACATACGTATAGATTTTTTTAACATGGCAGTCTATCAGTCCAATAACCCAATAAAAAAAATCTGATTGATTTTGTCCAAGTTCTCACTGTGTCCTCGATTCCTTCGTTTCATTGGCCCGATCATCAGCTGCTTTAATGTCTGCTTCACAAATGGATAATTGATGTACTCGCCCACAGCAAACCCCGGAGGTCCACCAACCAGCCCACCAACAACCGCACATCCTCCGGTCTTAATTCCTCCTTTCACCGAGTTCTTCATGGTGACCTTGAGATCTGGCTCAGACCATAATTTGTCGAGCAGTTGTTGGAGATCTTTTTTTATTTTGTCGTCCATCTTACTGATGAAGTATTTGGGTAAAATTCTCCGTCAGTTTCTGCCTGGATGTAACTGTGATGTAATTTTATTGTCAGAACAAATTCAGTTTTATTCATAAAGCAGCAAATCAGGCCTGTAAGGTCCAAGCAGCAGACGTTCAGTCTAATATTTAATCAGAAGAGAAATATTCAGATTTATTTGTAATCATTGATAATATTTTTGACTGTTAAGTTGATTCATGTCGCGAACTTTTAAAAAACACTCCTGACTCGTTAAAATAAGCTAATATAGACGACATGGATCAGCTGGTGCGATCAACAATGACTGATCAAGTTTAAGTGACAAGTAGCAGAAAGACAGAAAAGCTGTAACGATCTGTTTCTTACCTTTGCTGTCCTGAGAGGAATGAAGCACGAGCACAAACACACACCTTTATAGCAGGTGTGTGTTTGTGTGTGAGGTGTCAGTGTGTGAGTTTCAGTTTCATTATTCCCATCACACAACTATGAATACTGCAATACTTTCATCAGTGACTGCAAAATGTCTGAAATGATTTGAAGCTTTGTAGTTTGAGCTCAGGAGCTCTGTTGGCCTTTTGGCTGCCCCTCCCTCAGCCTCCACTCCAGGTGCTGCTCATGAGCGTCGTCTGGTTGTTGGGTTCCTCTCCAGCGTTGCAGGGTCTTTACAGCCTTACAGTTTAAAGCTGCTGGAGGCGACTGCAGTTGTGAATTGGTGCCGTGCAGTAAAAGTGAAATGAATTTAAAGTTACAGATAAGCACAGATGTGTGCTCAGCTGGATTTCAGCTTCACACCAGGGTCTAAAGCCACACACTTCTGTCGCGCTGACACAAAAACACCTTTTATTCTTCACTTTTTGCTGAATGTTACTGGAGCGGTTTGTCTCGTCTCAGTTTGACAGAAGGATCCAGCACCATCACTCCGCCCTGACATCACTGATGTCGGCTATTGTCTCTGTGAATGCTGGAACAACACACTGGGAATTTTTAACTCGCAGACGTCTGCTTTTGTTTGTGGGCTCATTCCAGAGACCAGGTTCAGGTAAATATCTGAGGGTTTTCATCCTGAGATGAAACTCCAGGTTTCTGTTCAGGAACAAGAGCTAAACTCATCAGCGTCTGAAGAGTAAAGCCGAAACTGAAGGTCCTTAAACCTGCACTCTTTTTAACGGTCAGCAGGGGCGGTGGATAGCACGGCACGTGGTTAAAATAAGAGGCTGGAGGCACGGAGAGCCAGTGCTGATGAACACAAATAAATGATGCAGCTCAGCGGGGGCGATGGATTCAACAGCAGCCTCTGATGGTAACTCTTACAGACTGCTGCGCACAGCCCGGCTTCTTTCACTACAAATGTTGGATGAACACGATCAGAGCCGACTGAAGACTCCGATCGGCTCTTCTGGAACAGAAACAGAAAGAATCTGATAAACCTGCTTTCTGGAGCAGCGCCTGGCATTTACCGGAAACCTGAAGCTCACTCGCCTTCATAAAACTTTAAGCTCTGACTTGGTGACCAGCATTTTGTTTAGCTCATTCATTCACTGACTAACAGATGAGTTGGTATCATAATCGTTTTTGAGACAATAAGACATGAAAGTCCCCTGATCGAGTCACATCTGTGCCGTGTGCTTCTGAACTGTATGTTTACGGCGTCTCGGTGCTTCCAACAGACGCTCCAAACATCCAAACCTGTGTGATCACGTTACCCACTCTGTGAGGTTTAAGGACCCTGCCAGTGTTCATTAGTGTCTTAATATAAACCCATTTACCATATTAGCACATCGGTTTCATTTCTTCAGAACGTTACTGGACTGGTTTATCTCGTGTTACTCGTACAAACCAAACCGGACCCTTAACACCGGAACAACTGTCACGTCAGGAATTTTCACTTTCAATGTGAAACGATATTTCACGCCAGCCGACACCTTCGGTTGGATACTTCTTTAGCTTTATACGCACGTCTTTCAGGACTGGTTTTAATGATGTCACAGTGAGACTCCAGGTGCAGCAGTGCAGAGGAACACCTGAGATCCTGAACCCTGAAGCTCACCTACACATAAGTATGAACTTTGGACTTTTACAGTGCAAAGCCAGAAACGCTCCCGTACTAATACTTTGTCATTTTAATGTTGTGTCATAACAGCAAAGCTGTGTCAGGTAAATCACTCCTCCAGTTTAAATGAGCCGCACTGACAGAAGCAGGGATTGGTGCTTTGTGGCCGGGTCAGGACAGGTGTGCCCACCTGTTGGTGCCATACTCTACACCCTTCTGCTGCTGATCAGTGTGCTGTGACCCTTAAGCTGTGATAACCTTTGCATTAAGATATGTGGTCCAGTATTAAAGATGAACAGTCCATAAATATCTTTGTTGGGTCCACGTGACACTAATTCTCTGCAACAGCTACAAGAGCATCTTCTGTGCAAACTGACGTGGGTCCAGTTTACCTTTCACATCACTAAGAACACGATCTCTTCTTTAAAGCTATTCATTGCAATGGGTGTGTTTTTGGTACAGGACCTTATGAGGACGCCCAGGCTACGAGACCAGCGTGGACCATAAGAGATTTGGGACTGGTGTCTAAAGACAAAGCTAAGCTCTTTCCTACACTCCCACAATCCTACCAGTTAATCCATCAGGCTACCTGCTTCTGTAATACTGACCTTTCTAAAGGTTCCTCCCTGCTCAGACACAAGCTGCTCCATAATGTAGCTCTGTTACCTACTGAAGTCAATATTCCAGCTGCACAGCTTCATAGGAAGTGAGTCAGCTGAAAACATCTGGAGCATCAGCAACAGGACGCAGCAGAGCCAGGACTGCTGCCCTCCTCAGCTCACAGACCATCACAGGCTGATGTTGAAGAAGAGGAAGCATGGAGCTGTCCCACTTTACAGATGTGTCGCTGCCATCAGAGTTTCTCATTTTAAACATTTGATGTGTTTTCTCTCTTCTACTCAGAATAAAATCTGAGTTTATGAGATTTGGTAGAAACTGATTTATGATTTGGTGAAAATTGGGTCAAAGTCAACCAAATATGAAGATCAGTAAAAACTTTATATTGCCCACAAGTGTTTTACAGATTCATCAAATTTCACAACAATATACCAGGTCTTCCTCGACAGACACGAGTACCAAGGTTGGCTAAGCCCAAGGTCAATGTTGACCTTTCAATTCAATTTTATTTATACAGATCACAACAACAGTCGCCTCAAGCTGCTTTACACTGTCAGGTCGACCCTACAATAACACACACAGAGAAACCCAACAATCATATGACCCCCTATGAGCAGCACTTTGGCGACAGTGGGAAGGAAAAACTCCCTTTTAACAGGAAGAAACCTCCAGCAGAACCAGGCTCAGGGAGGGGCGGGGCCATCTGCTGTGATTGGTTGGGGTGAGAGAAGGAAGACAGGATAAAGACATGCTGTGGAAGAGAGACAGATTAAATAAGTAGTATGAGAAACGCGTTGTGTGACAGGCGACGCAGAGAGCTGTACAACAGTTTTTATTTGTCCAATGCAACGTCCTGCAGTGTCACAATGATGTCATAACACGCTGCAGTAAAAACATGATAAAAAACATCAGAGGTGTAGTACCAGCCCTCGGCCTTCGGGGGGAGTAATCATTTTACAGCGTACCAGCTGATGTCGTCGCTGAGCCGTCAGTCATCAAAGCTGCTGAACAAATATTGAATGAAAAGCTTGAAATCTGAGAGCAGGAGCACTCTAAAAAGACCCTGATGCAGAGTGTGCGAAGGAGCAGATTTTCTAATCCAGATTAAATTACACGCTGGTCCCATTCAGGGATTAAAAAAGCCAAAGTAACAAAGACATCAGTGCTGCACAAACATTACTGAGAACTTCGTCTGTGTGAGCTGCGAGACATCCGTGATTCAGTTCAAAGGTCAGGTCCACGTGGAACCATCCCTCAGTCCTTGTAGCGCACCTCCGCTCTCAGCTCATTGGTGACGTAGCTAATTAAGGCAGCGGCGACCTGCTGCTGGAGGGTGGAGTTCCCCATCACGAGCGAGACGAGCTGGGCCGCGTCCGTCCAGTCCAGGTTCCCCAAGACGGCCGTGATGGACTCGTAGAGCTGCCTCTGCTGCGGGGGAGGCAGCTCCATCAGGATCTGAGGCAGAGGTCTGAACTGCCCGCTGGTCAGCCAGCTGCCCAGGAGACCGCCGACGGCGCCGCCTGACAGAGACGCAGAAGAAGAACACCAGTGCGTCAGAGGCGCACACACAGGCGTAAACAGGCTTAAGTAACAGCTGTGGCCGAGGTCAGCGACGTCCAACTTTAAACGTGTAAAGCTCTAAACACAGGCTGTTCACATCAATACATTTATTGATTGATTATATTATATCTATTAAGGAAAAGTTAAGATCAGAGCGTGTTAAGGCGTGTGCTTTCAGGGAAGCCCATGCATGTGAGCACCTGTGAGGACATAAAGCCTCCTGGTGGACAAACTTGTGACTTCCTTGTTGAATTATGGGCTTCGCCAGAGTTTCTGAAAACTTGACCTCTGACCTTGACCTCTTATCAAATGAGATGTTAGTACACGCACCCGTGCTGTGAACTTTAAACTCTGCGTCGCCTCGTTCTCAAGTTACCAGATTTACAAACTTTGGTGACCAAAGTGCGTCTGTGTTTCCATCAATGCAAACGACTAAATTCATCGTGTGGTTAAAAATAATCGTCACACAGTGAATCAGGTAAACTCGCTCATGTGAAACGGCTCTGCCTTTACCTGTTCGTTCACACAGGTGTGCTTTAACTCTCCTGTCGGCCACACAAAGCGATTTACATAACGCCAGAGGCCTTTCAAGATGGCTGCTGTGTGGGGAGGACTTTGCTGGTCCAGGTTACTGAGGCTGCCCGCGTGACGATCACTGCAAAGCCTCCAAACTTCTTCTTACCTGCAGTTACTGCAGAGGACTCGAACCTGCTCGTGTTTACTGCCTTCCACCACAAAAAGCACAAATCCTCAGAGCGTGTTATTACTCTGACAGCTGTGGCAAACACGCGGCCTCGTCCACAGTCAGGTTTAAACCGACAAACTCAAACCCAGCGTCCTCCTCGGTTTCCTTTTATGTCTTTTTATCTCCTTCTGCTGAATCAGCAGATTTAATTCCTCCTCCTGCTTCTTCTACTTACCAACAGCGATCCCCGGAGGTCCGCCGAGCAGCCCACCCACAAACGCAGATCCTCCCGCCACCATCGCCCCTTTGGTGGAGTTCTTCACGGCGACCTTGATCTCCTCGTGAGCCGACACTTCACAGCACAAACGCATGACGTCGTCCATCCGGGCGGGCATCTCTGCAACTCCACGTGGTGTCTTTCCTGAAAACAAGGTTCAAAAATGAAGATGAGTGTAAGTGGTTATTCCTTACACAGCGACGCACACCTGGGACAGGTGAGCTGCCAGCGTCAGTTTCACAGGTAAATCTGCTGTTAGCGTGTCGCAGCTGTCACATCTTTAATCGCATTTCTGTGGTTGCTGCATCATTGATGCAACAGTGTGTGAGCTCCGTGAGAGAGGCAGCGGTGACTAACGTCACACACAGCGTGTCACAGTAACACACGCGTGTGCGACACGAGGTCACGTGTGTACTGACTCCGTGTCTATCTGCGACCACACAGACCACCCAACCCGAGCCTACGCTGCTCAGCGGTTGCGATTTCTCTCGCATCTCCTTCTCTTCCTTCTGCTCCGCCTCCACCTTTCCCAGCATCCACCTGTGCCAAATGTGCAGCTGTATGATGACGCACAAATAGAAATAACATACAGTAGAAATGCAGCACAGACACAAAAGCGGAAGCAGCACGTCTGACCCTAAAATAAAAACCAGTTTCAGTTTTCCATCAGCTGCTGACTGTGACATGTAACAAAGAAAAGTGAGATTCAAAGAGCAGAGTGTCATCCACCTTCAGCCTGTTTGCATAAAACTGTCACACTGAGGCAGGGAAAGGACCACAGCTTGGTTTCACTTTTACTTTCCAACGCAGCCTGAAACCATCAGACGGCCTGTAATCATTATAATGACTCGAATAAACCACATCCACGGCCCTGCTGCGTTGTCTTTCGTGTTTCTTAGGGGGCTGTCAGAGCTCCGGATTCAGGACAGGCTCCGTGTAAACGCGTCGGGCACAATCACAGCAGTTGGACTTAAATTAGACGGTTTCTGAGCGGAGTTTGGTGGGACGGGCTCGGCAGTGACAGGTGTAGCACACCGACAAACAAGAAGTAACTACAGAGTCAGGACGTGAACATCAGCTGCTCTGTCTGACTCACAGAGTCGGATAATCTGAACCGGTTGGATTCAACTGCGAACTCGGGACTTTTTTTTACCGACCACTCAGACTCTTTCCCCTCTCTGTGTGAGGCTGCAGAGGTCAAAGGTCACACAGCTGATCGGGACACATTCTGCTTACCTTCAGTCCGTCACTGTCCGCAAACTGTAGACAACTTCCGGCTCTGCAGATCAATGAAGGAGGAAACAAACGAGCCTGTTTGATTCTTCTTCGCTGAACACAAACCGAAGAAACGGAGAGAAGATGGTCCGGTGCTCCGGTCCGCTCAGGAACTCACGTTAAAACACTCACGCTCTAATCTCACTCTACTTTTGTTTAACGAACGCATGCGCACAAAGTTTGATGCGCTCAAAGAGCACATGCGCACTAAACAAGCCGGAGACCGGAGAAACTTCAAACAAAGTTTCTACACGGAGAGTTCTGATTGGTCGCTGCAGCTCGCTACGTCACCCAAGCCTCCACATTGGTCGCTTGAATTAAAAAGAAAAAAGAACTAAATTCTTTCTTCGTGTTTTGAAAGTCAGCTCGGTTCATTTCCAGCATCCTGCAGCGCGCTGTGTAACCTGTATGTCTGCATATAAGGATTTAGATTGTTTTGATATTGTGGTATATTGTTCATTGTGTTGCTCGTATATTGTTTTAAATTGTTGTGCACTTCGCTCTCTCCTTCACATTTTACTTTATTAAATATTATGACATGATATTTAATTATCTGCTTGATTTTCTTATTGTATTCATTCTGTTTAGCTTTTACCTCCTTCGGCTGTTTGTTTGGTCGGATGTTACCGAACTTCAGACCAGAGGACGTCTCTGTGTTTTATGTTTGACTCATTTCTTCTTCTTCTGCTGAATCGAAGAAAAATGAAGTAAATCGGACCTCGCTGCAGTACCTGCGGCTGCCACCAGGAGGCGCCGCCCCCTTTGTTTTAATATGTGAAGCGTTTGTTTCATTGAAGCTGCGTCCCACACACGCCCCGAGTGGGGTGAATGTGGGACTCGGGACCTTGTAGCTGTCACAAACATTCATATCTGATCCTGCGTCTGAATCCTGTTTGTCTTGTTTCCTGTCTGAGAGCAGAGGGACTATTTAACCTCCTCGCATCCTAATATCACCGTTTCATAAAGAGAAACAGAGCCCGGTCCAAGCACCGGCACAGCGAGCTGGAGCAGCCTCCGCGTCCATCACTGACATGTTTACATTTATGCTATTTGCATCTTTATTTCACGCTTTCTTCCTACTTTTTGTTTGTGATTGCTGAGCTCCAGATCGCTGAGCGCGCGGGTTAACCCAGCGAGCAGATAACCTGCTTCCGGTGACCTCTGACCCTGACCGGTACGCTCAGGAGTGACCTCAGGCATGCCGGGTCTGCCCGGCTGAACTCGGCTCAGTGCGAGGATCGGGGCAGGGGGCGGGGCTTTGTTTGTTTACGTGTGATGCAGTGAGATACGCTCCGCCTGATTGGGTGGATTTTGGTGACGTTTGAGGCAGCGGGGGAGGAGCCTGTGTGAGATAAACAACCTGTGGATGAAAACAAGCACAGAGAGAACCGGAAGCTTCAAAGCAGCGAAAACATCGACTTATCGGAGCAGGTGGGTCTGAATCTTTAGTTACACCCACGCGTGACCTTTGACCTGCACGCGGTTAGTGTTAGAGTCTCTGTTCCGCCGTACCTGAGCACGGCCAGGGGTGCTTGTTCCAGCTGGAGGTACACGGAGTCCTGCCGAGGTCTGTTTCTCACACACGCACGCACAGAGGCGCGTGTCTGTTAGTGAGTGCGTGCACTTCTGTTGTGTTTCACGCGCAGATGTTTCTGTAAACACGATGAAGCTGGGGGTCACGTGATGAAGCGGAGCTGCAGTCAACATGTGAGCAGGCCAAACACACACAGGAATAACGGTTCTCAGTTTAATAGAAAATAAAGTTTTATTATTTTAAGATCTTACAAACTGCGGTTGAGCAGTAATGTGGAAACAGGAGGTGAAAGGTCACGACCCGGCTTCCTGTCTTTGTGGAACATCACCTGGGTTCGAGCTGCTCAGGTTTCTGAGGCCTCGGCGTCATGAGGGAAGCTTTTTACCTGTGATGATCTCACCTGTGTGCTGCTCTTCATCCACAGGTGCTGTCAGAAACGTCGGGATGATCGGAAAGATTCTTGCTCAGCTTATCGGGAATGCCAGCGAGGACCTGGAGTCAGCAGGAGAAGAACACGAGACGCTGCAGGAGTTCGAGGACGAGGGCTGGGTCATCGTTAACCTGCCAGGTGAGAAAGTCAACCTGCTTCAGGTGTACACGCTGTAGCGCCGATGCCTCTAAACATCTCTGATCCTCATGCAGAGGACGGGCTTCTGTCGGCTCCAGACGGGGACCTCCTCGAGAACCTGCTGATCGAACACCCGAGCATGTCCGTCTACCAGATGAGACGCGGGGTGGGTGTAGCCGAGGAGGAGGAGCCGGGCTCTGATGAAGAGGAAACCTCAAGGTTATGATGCTGACGATGCTTTCATTCAGATAATCTGAAACCAGTTTTACAAACACAGAAGAAGACAGCAGGGCAGGTGGGCGGGGTTTATAATGTGGCTTCCTGTGTGTCTCTCCAGGCCTGTGGCGGTAAGGCGGCATGTATCCTGGCGTATTGCCGCCTGGGGGCTTCCTCTGCCGTACAACATCCAGCTGCCGGCGGCGCAGCGTGCCAGGAGCCGTGCTGAAGGCAGGAAGCTGAGCCGCGGCGCCCTTCACAGGCAGAACCTCACCAAGACACGCTTCTGCCCTGCAGAGCGGCGCTACGGACACTTCAAGCAGCCCTGCCAGCGTCTCTACAACTACTGACTCCGATATCGGCGCCGCTCAGGCTTCACCTCGCCGTTACATCACGTGACATTCACCACTTCCTGTGCAGTAATCAAACAGCTGAAAGAACCACACGTTTTTCATTCTTCTGTAAACTTTATTGTCAGCAGGGCGAGCGCCGCGGCAGAACAGTCACTGCTCAGATTAATGTTGATGATGTCAGAGCTTCGTGCTCTGTCGCCGTGTTCAAATCTGTCATTTTGGCGGCTTCGCTCTTCTTCTGCGTGTTAAAGTGTGTGATGAGTTGACCTCTTGACCTTTGCAGCGCTCCTGCTGCTTTTCTACTTTTTATTTGACACAAATGTGAAATTTTAATTTTTATTTGTGTGTATTTATAAAATGTTTTAAAAAAGCAAAATAAAGTTTTTGAGATTTTCTAAAGCTGCGGTCTGCGTGTCTTCATGGTGGGGGCTCGTTCACTGCCGGAGCTTCCGGATTTTCCCCATGAACCTCTTCACCTGCTGCAGGTCCACCTCGTTGGCCCAGTGCCCGCCCAGCTTAAAGTGGGAGCCCACTATCATCGCGTTTGCATCCAGGTAGCTCTCGACATTGTCATAGGTCACTCCTGAGCCAATCAGCACGGGGATTCCCACAGACTGGGAAACGTCTGGAAAAACAGAAAAAATCACTTCAATGAATTTCTATTTAAGAACACGTCAGCAGTCGAAAGCTTCTTTTCCCACCGTCCAGCAGCACACGAACGCATCTCAACCCTCCAGACTTACAAACCCTGAAGTCCACCTGAGGCTGTGAGCAACGAGGTTTAGAATTTGAATTAAATCATTTAGATTTCATTTAAATCTCTGAATATTACAAAGGAATCTAGTAGATCGCTACTAAACGCACTGCAGGCTGGACTCAGCACAGAGAGGCGTCGGGCTGCTGTGGTCGGGGAAGGCTGTTTGAATTATTGGTGCTACTTCCTGCCTCTCAGTCGATATGTGACCCACCCTGATTAGTCTCACCTGGTCACACCTGTTCCCACTCTGATGATCCTTCTGTTCCCTGACACAGTCCGAGTGTTTTCCTGGCTCCGTGTTGGGACCTGGTCTTTGGGCCGTGTCTCTGATACGTTTGCCTCGTTTACTGTCAGCTGTTTGGACCTTGGGTTGAAGCATTGCTAACTAAAACGCAGCCGCTGCTAGCATGCGTGGTTTGTTTATCTCGCCTGGAGCAGCCTCTGCTATATAAACATCATCACCGAGCGCTAACTCCTTGGAGCTCAAAGGTATCTGACTGCATGCTGCGCAGCACCTTTGGGTCGGTGCAGGACAGTGTGTGTGCAAACAGGCTCACTGCATGCATATTCTCTGGCTTCATAATGACTTTGCTCACCTGAGGCGTGCCCTCTCTGACCTGCCAGAGTCTCCTGCCTGTGCGCAGAGGGGTGTGGCAGATATAAGACTGACACATCAGAGTGTGACAGAATAGAAAATACGCTTCAGACGCCTTCACCACCTGCAGAGCTGCACTCAGTGAACCTCCGCTCACACGCGTGACCTGGTGAATGTGTCTGAACATGACCAGCACCTGTGTGTGTGTGTGTGTGTGTGTGTGTGTGTGTGTGTGTGTGTGTGTGTGTGTGTGTGTGTGTGTGTGTGTGCGCGCGCAGCAGTGGCATGTACAGCACTCAGACTGTTTACAGGGTTGAGTGTCCGGCTGCTATAAATATCCTGGCTGCTGCTGCGAGGACGCGGTGCAGAGTTCAGACTCAGTAACCTGAGCTGATGCAAACCTTACTGACTGATTACTGCAGGATTTATGGTCCTGTGCATGAAGCTGCATGAAGCTGCAGAGCAGCACCTGAACGCTGATTGCTTAAATGTTTTAAACAGGAAATGGACCTACAGATGAGGAAGCACAAAAACACGGCACTCATCAGTAACACCTGAGGGCAGGTATAGCTCTGGGTTTATCTCAGTGAATGTCGGTGGAGCCATGACTTTCATTTCTAAGCTTTCGATAGGAAATGAACTGGTTCTTTTCTACTCTGATCACTTAAAGACACAGGGGAAAACGAGTGGATTTATCTCCCACAAACAGCTCAGGTGGGCTTGACCCCCTGCTGTGAGTGTGACATTTAAAATTCAGACTCTTTGGGCGCCGGTTTAGCTCAGTGGTTCGAGTGCGACCCGCGGCCCTCTCTCCCTCGGGGTGAGGGGGACCTCTTCTGGACAAACGGGGTAAAAACAGGAGGACCTGAGGTGAGGGGGCTTAAAAAAAATGTCTGATATGTTGTGAAATACTGTTCTGAGAATAAAGTGAAGTGTGCATCCACCCACGCAGCACAGCTGATGAAGACACACCTGAACCCTGCAGAACCAATCAGTTGTTTCTGTGCTGCATGCAGGTGAATCCTTTCTGCAGCTCTAACAGGAGTCACCTGACCTGACTTTAGATTTTAATTTCAAAATAAAAATCCTTGTAATGTCTCCTTTTTATATTCTGCAGCGTTAATCTCAGCAGTGACGAGAAGCTGTTAGGATTCTGATTGTAGACGATAAAGTGATAAAATGCAGTGAGTGACGAGAGTCAGGCTAACATCTGGACAGAGTGTGTGTGTGTGTGTGCGTGTGTGCGTGTGCGCGGCAGGGGCGGGACCTCGGAGCTCCTCGGGGTCGGCCTGCAGTCCTGTGGCTGCTCCTGTGATGATGACGCCGTCTGAGAGGAAGAACTCAGCAGCACGCGCCGTCTCTGCGACGCTCACGTCTGACGTCAGGGCGTGAGAGCTGGAAACACACGCACACACACACAGAGGCATGTGTGGATGTTACACACTGGAGATGATAAGTGGTTTGCACTGTAATAAAAATCAAACCTTGTGTGAGGTGTGTGAAAGTTTCATGATTTGCTGCTCAGTGGGGTGGATGCTCCTCCCACAGCAGCAGGTGAGCTGCCCTTCAGTGTGTCTGCAGTAGACACCAGAAGGACACCACAGGGGACCATCAACATGAAAGCCGCAGGTCCAGGCAACATCCAGGACGGCCTAAGAGCTCGCCAAAGTGCTGACACACATTTTAATACCTCTCTCGCCCAGGCTGGCCCCATTCACGTCCCAGTGCCTGAAAGCTCAGCTGTGACAGGCATGAATGACTGTTGGCCGGCCGCTCATCCTGATTATCTGCAGCTGTACTCAGACACAGGAAGTGTTTTCACGTCTTCTTGCATCACTGAGTACTTCATTCTTTACTATAACTGCACAGCAGGTGACCTCACCTGTGCTTCTTCTTGATGTCGGTGAAGATCTGCACGTGCTCAGCTCCGATCTGTTTGCGGTACCGCAGTAACTCCCCGGCGCCGGCGTTGAGGAGGCCTTCGTCTGCCACGTGAGCAAAGACGAAGCCCTCAGCCCTGATGAAGTCCAGGCCTGGAAGCACACAGCGCCGTCACTGTGCTGATCACACGTCCTGCATCTTTCCAAACACATCAACATGAACTGAACGAACAACTGAACCTGAAGCCAGAGCCACAGCCAGCGCCTGCTGATTGGCTGCAGTCAGGATCTGCGCTCCTATAGGCAGGGACGGACAGGCGGCCCTAACGCTGCAGCAGACGGCGGTCATGCAGGCGCTCACCTCGGGGCCCGCGCTCAGAGAGTACGGCACATCGTGCATGTTTTCAACGATCAGTCCATCCTGAAAGACGGGATTGGAGGTTCGGTTAGCGCCTCGCCTGTGCAGACTGCAGAGCTGTGAGGAACGCAAACAACGTGCACAAACGTACAACCCCTGCGTCTCTGTAGATCGCTGCCTCCCGGCACGCCGCCTCGCTGATTTCAGACATTTTCAAAGAGCCCAGTGGGCTACCTGAGGAAGAGGAGGAGCCTGTTATAAAGGGTCTCAAAGAGTACCCTCAACACTTAAGGATGTGGGCACCGATGTGCACATCATGCATGTACAAGAATACGAGCGCAAACTGTGATGTTTTTCTCTGCAGCTCCTCCTACTCAAAGTCACGAGTACACAACCATGATCACCTGGACGAACAACAAAACACCGCATATTTACAGCGTGTCATTATTTATTCAACACTAAACCAAAACGCAGCGTGTGAGAAACTATCAGCTGCTGCTAATCGATGCAGGTTATTGACTAACTGATCATCAGCGGTGTGAGCGCCTCTGTAAAAGCAGAGCTTTGGTCTGTTTGCAGGGCGACCGTGTTCAGGTGTGTTAACACAATCCCAAAATATTCCTACGAGTGGACGTCCCAGCAATTTTACCCCAAGGTCAGAGCGTGCACAAAGTGCGTGTTAGAGTGTGAAAGGTCAAAGGTCATGACAGCAGAAAAAGTGAGAGCAGGCCTTGTTTGGACAGGAGAACGGGGCCGAGGTTCAGGGTTCAGGGTGGGTCATCGTGTGCATCGATGTACTTATTGTGTATTTTGTTGCCGTGTATCTTCGTATGAAGTTAAGGTCGATGGTACTGCTGCGAGTCTCAGCCTGCAAAAGGGATGTTTGATCTCGACTCACATTGTCCTGGTTAAATAAAGTTTAACTGCCCCGTCACAGGGCGACCACACCGGTGTGCGAGGCTGAAATGTTACACGTCTGACTTAATCAAGTTCATGTGTGAGCGCAGCGTACGCAGGAAAATGTCACATATCAGCTAAATCTGAGCCAATCAGAATGTGCGATGTTGTCTTAACCTGATGATGCGCAGGCCCACTCGAAGCTTGACGCCAGCTCACCCTGAAACCACATTTTGCAAACCTCTGTGCTCTTACTGACCTCCCCCTGCCACGACCAAACACTTCACCTGAACCTGGAGGACGCCGACAGGTGGACTCTGTTACCTGGCAACGCTTTCACATGAATCATTCCGATAACGACGGATTTTAGACGCCCAAACAGCTCCGAAAACTTCATCCTTCCCTTTCTGTGCAGACGCCACAGAATGAAACCTGTTTGTGTCGTTCTCAGGAGGGGGTCATGTGACTGACCAAAGGTCGACTTTGCTCTGTTCACCAAACAAAAAGAGTATTTCAGCTTCACCGCAGATACGAACACAATCATCTCTGGAACAAGTTTGTTTCTGAATAAAAGAAGTTTCCTGGCTGTGAATCAGGGCCAGCAGGACGTGTTTCATCTATTTAACTTTTACGCTCTCTGAGGAAGCTGAAGTTTAACAATTAATGTTTGTCTACACTCACCTGGCTCTGGGTTTCCTCTCAGACTCTCCTTCCTCCACTTTCACCCACTTATTTAAAACTTCTATTCTTCATATAGCAGCAAACCTCGAAGCTCCGTGCCGACTGCAGGAAACTCAAAGCAGTCGTCCTGCACCTGGCAACTCCATCACTCTCCCTCCTCTGCACATGCTCAAACCATCTCATCCTCTCAGCTGCTCCTCTGATGGACTCCTCCTTCTCACTCCCAGTGAACGTCTGAACATCTTCAGCTCATCCTCTGCCATCTCCAAACAGCAGAGCTCACTGCTGTCTTTGAACCTTCCCTTTGTCTCGTGCTGCTACCCTTCCGTCACGAATCACCCCTGACATTCATCTCCACCCGCTCCGCCCTGCCTTCTTCACCTCTCTAGTGCACCGTTCATTGCTTTGGGTCCACACCAAGCCTCCTTGTCCTCCTTCCTTTGTCCAGAGGACACTCCCTGCAGTTTCCCTCAGCTTTACTTTCCCAGCATCCTTCCTTCACTCACTTGCTCTTCTTGATGTCCAAAGTCACCCTGCAGTCAACCATCCGATACTGCCCAGCTACATCCTCCCTGACACCACCTCACAGTCTCATATCTCGCTCAGATCACACCTTCTGTACCTTCCTCCACCCCTCTGACCTCCACCCTGTGGGGCGTACACACTGACACCCTTCGACCTCACGCTTCATACTGGTGACCTTGCCTGTTACTCCTCACCTCCACAGCACTGCTCAGGCTCCTCCTTCGGGATTACTCCTGTGATCAGAGCTGTCTGTAAGTCACGAGGAAGCCTCGGTGCTTCCCACAGCTCACAGGGATCATCTTGGAAGTCTCCACTGTCCTGACCTGTGCTGCTGTGTTTGTAAATGCAGATGCTGAGCTCTGTTACGGGTCATGTCTCAGCAGCAGGAGGAAGGATGGTACCGATGTGACGTTATTGCATTTCCTGTATAAGCTGGTTATTAAAACCACGGCCTAATGAATGATCATATTCAGCCTGCAGCAACAACCGTGTGAGGACGCTGTCACGTGATCACGTGACCAGCAGCCACAGATTTGCTGACGTCAAAGGTTGGTTCGCCTCCTGCCACTTTATCAGATTTAATGGTGAAGTTAGGAGCCCGGGGAGGAGTCGGAGGCGGCTGAGCGGGTCAATCCGTTGCGGTCGGAGGCGGGGCGAGTACGGCAGCCCGCAGTGGACATGTGGGAGGCGATACGCTTCATTTTCCCGCTGAATCACAGCCTGGTCCGGTGACAGACACTGAAGGTAACGTGCACGGAACCCGCTCGCTCACTTGCTACGTCATTCTGCCCGCTTTGCGTCGTTTTCCGCGTCTTTCTGCGTCGCTTCTGCCTTTGTTTACATCTGACACACAGCCACGCGGTGCCCGAGCGCTTCCGGTCTGCGAAGATCCGCCCCTCGCAGCTGTCAGCGCGGCACTCACGCCCCCATTTTTACCGGCAAAACTAAAAACTCACCGTTTCCTTCACGCTCGCGACCATCCGCGTAGAGTTCAGCCAGCATACCTGCCGCGTGCCCTGCACAGGTGAGCGGCTGAGGTGACGCAGCTCAATGCGGCTGTAAAGCGGCGCAGAGGGTGGAGATTTAGCGCCAACTGGAATCTACGCCTCCTGACGTGGAGCTCGTCTGCGCTCTGCGAGGCGCCAGCTCGGAGCAGTTAGCCCGGCCTAAGCTCAGAATCCCGGGCACCGCGAGCAGGAGAGCACCGGAGGACAGAGAGCACACACCTGGAGAACACACTTGGAGAACCTGAGGGGAACCCACTGCGGGGTTAAACCTTCTTTTGGAGCTCTCGGCGGAGCAGGGTGAACTTCAAGGGAGGAACTTGAGGTGAGTTTCTGCAGCTCGCTAAAAGTTTGCGTGAGTAGAATTGGGGCTTGATTGCCTGCAGCGTAATGTGACCCAGGCTCCCACGTTAAACCCCAACGGTCTCCGGTCCAGACGTGGACAGCCCCCGGGGGTTCGGCTCTTTGTTGGCCGCTCCGTGTCCGCATCAGGCGGCCATGATGTGCAGCCGGACTCGGTAAAATATCGCTGTTTTCGGTTAACCGAGCCCCGTGGCCGCGTCAGACCAACCTTTCTCGGTGTGGCGTGGATGTCGGGGCAGTTTCCCGGGTCTCCGAGGTCCGGTGGGGGGCTTTGGGGGCACTTGGAAGCGGCCTGCTGCCCCGCTCTCCGCGCCAGGCTGAGCCGGGCTTTGTCGGGAGGAAGGCGGCTCGGAGTGGGGGTTGGGGCCGCTGTACGTCGCACTTTTACGGCTGTTTAAGTCTAAATTTCAAGTCGTTTGTCGTCCACAGGTTTGCTCCCACGGACGCTTCCACGGCCCCGACTATAATGAGAGGAACACGGTGAGTTTGGCCCACGCAGGAAGAGCCACCAGGAGCTTTAGCCTCACGGGCTAACTAGCCTGTTGTTTCTGGACCGTGTGAGCGTTTACCCGTGCTAACCCGGGTTTGTTCGGCTGATTGTGGACATGGCAGCGCTCGCTAACAGCTGCTGTTTGCTTTGCTTGTTTCAGGGAAGACACAGAAGCGAAGAGTGCTCCTGCCGAGGCCCCCAAACACACCACAGTCCGACCGAGGAAGAGGAAGGCAGATGTTGCTATTGTGAGTGTCCTGAAAGGCTGGCAGAGGCTCCAGCAGGGCCCCCCCCCACACACACTCTGCTGGGGTGGGTCATTGATGTGTTTTGTCACAAAGAGGGTCACGCAGGGTTCCAACAATGTTGGACATCATAGTAGAGCCACAGTGAGGAGAGCTGACAGAAGCAGTGGGCCTTCATCTGAGGGGAGATGGTGAACAGCACGGAGGCGCAGAGCGCGTCTTTAAGCTCAGGTTTTTTGTAACTGCAGCCCGTGGCACCGCCGACAGGTGGAAGGAAGGTCAGCGGTCACCTGACCCAGCCCTAACTTATTAGCTTTGCCAGGAAGACGATTTGAAGGCTGATCAACTGACACCAAGGAGTCCACAGGAGGGGCGCCTCCAAATAACAAAAGCATGAGAAGGATAACTCCAGGGTTCCTTCTTTTCTGTTTGTTCCTCAGGTTTTACCGGATCTGGATGAGGAGGTAGCAGAGATGACGAAGAAGAAGCAGCGCGAGTGTGAGGTGGGTCTAATTACCTGCAGCGACTCCACGCCCACAGTCTTGGAGGCGTGTTTTCCTCCTCCACCCTTCTTCGACTCTAACCGAACTCTTCCTGTCTCCCAGCCGGGCTGGAGTCCTGCAGCTGATCGCGTGAGTCCGCAGAGGTGGATCTCCACGCCTGATCAGGAGGAGTGCCCGCTCGTGCCCCTGGTCAACGCCAGCTTTCCTCATTACAGCTTCCACACCACATGTGTGACACCCGTGCACCACGCGCCACTGCCCGCGCTCTGGTGAGTGGTGCTGATGGCTGCTCAGCCCTCAGTGGTCGGGGGTGTTTTCCTTTAATCTGTCACCTGTACCTGTCCTGTGTCAGCGATCTGTTTGACTCTGTGTCTGTCAGCTGGGCCAGTAAGGACGCCGTGTGGAACAACATGCTGGAGAAGGACAAGTCCTACACCAGAGACGTCCACATGATGGACAAACATCCACACCTGCAGCCCAAGATGAGGTCCATCCTCCTGGACTGGCTCATGGAGGTCAGTACTGAGTCTGTGAACCTGCAGCACCACCTGATCTCAGGTGTGTCTGTACGTGAGATTTTAGCTTTACACTAACCTTTAGCTTCAGGCTGCAGGTTTTACTGTGGATGATCCACGGCAGACGCAGCTCGGCGTCCTGGAAACCATGAAATCATTCATCTAAGAATAAACAGTAAAGATGCAGTCACCTTAATGCACTCGTGTGTGTGTGTGTGTGTGTGTCAGGTGAGCGAGGTCTATAGGCTGCACAGGGAGACGTACCACCTCGCTCAGGACTACTTTGATCGCTTCATGGCCACACAGAGGAACGTCCTCAAATCCACGCTGCAGCTCATCGGCATCACCTGCCTGTTCATTGCCGCCAAAGTCGAGGTGGGGAGGGCGGAGCTCTTCGGTACTGTGCGGGTGCTTTGTTGCGGCGTGTCTGCTGCGTTTCTTATCTTTAAATGTTTCTCTCCCAGGAGATGTATCCTCCCAAAGTCCACCAGTTTGCCTACGTGACAGACGAGGCCTGCACAGAAGACGAGATCCTCAGCATGGAGATCATCGTCATGAAGGTAAAACGCACGACCTGCCTCGGCCTTAACCGACCTCTGAGCACACCTGTGTCCTCACCTGTGAGACACGGCCTCTGTGACATCATCAGGTTTCCTTTGGTTTCTCAGCTGAAGACTCGGTGACAATTTCACTCTTTGGTCCATTTAATTCAGCTTGATTTATGCAGCGGCAAATAGGGCTGGGCGATATATCGAGTTTTTTTTAAAAATATCGATATATTTTCATACGAGATATAAGATGTGACAATATCGTTTATATCGATATAGTCTATGTTACGTTATAATTATACTTGTGGAGCCGCAGGTTTGCCTCT